AGGAGCAAGAGTGGCCCATTGTATAGCATGTATTCCCAGGGGTTTTTCCATGTGTGAATGATTCACACACATCCTTAGGTGGGCATCTGCAGGCGGTGCATGGTCGGCCCATTGTGTCATTGTTTCTCTGTGTCATGATAGTTCTCAATTGAGCAGCGGCGGCCGGCCTGAAGTCCGGCGCGCCACAGCGCTCTCAGCCACATGGCTCCCTGGGGGTCCTCCCTCCGGGGGCCTACGAGGCAGGGAGCGAGCCAGCCGGAAGACAGGCGCTCCCCGCCCGTGGCTCCCCATGCGCCGGGGGCCCTCCCTCCAGGGGCCTCTCCATCCTGATTTCATAATGATTGTAGCAATTATCATTCCTACCGACAATGTTGCTTTTCCTTCAGTCTCACCAGTTTTTGTGGGTTTTTTGAGTTTTCAATGATAGTCATTCTTTCTGGCTTAAGTACTGTTTTCATTTGCATTTCTGATGGCCAAAGATGCTGAATGTATTTTATGTACATGTCAACCATTTGTACTTCTTCTTTTGAGAAGTTTCTGTTTCTTTCAGTTGCCCAATTTTTGACTGGGTCTTTTTCTCTTGGGGGTCTAATTTTTTTGAGTTCTTTGTATGTTCTAGATATTGGTCCCCTGTCTATTGGTTGTTTCCTTTGCTGTGCACAAACTTTTTAATTTGAAAAATAGAATTCTTACAGTTACTAAGTGGCAGGCTTGAGGTAGAGGACAGATTTTATGAGTCCTGTTCCACTGCTTCTTCCCGCTACATAATTTTACCTTTAGCCTTTTGTTTCTGGCTTGGAGCATTGTGTGCAAAATTAGTATAAAGTTACTAATATGGTATATCTTAAAGCTTTACCTTTTAATATAATAATCTAAGGTGTGTTTGTGACTGTGAATACTTTTAAGGAATTGAATGCTTGATACAGATCCAGTTTTTATTTTTGACTATGTGTGATTAATGCTAAGGTGAATTTGAAGTTTGTTAGCATGTTTTATGATAGTGCCACTTTTTTCTTTCAGTTGCTAGTTAAATGGAAATTAAAACTTTTCAAGTATTAAGTTTAAAGGTAGGAGCAATTTGAAACATAAAACAATGATTTTTTTTTTTTTTTTTTTTTTTTTTACTGTTTTCAACAGTGGATGTTCCTTCAACTTGTGCCTTCTTGGAATGGATCTTTAAAACAGCTTTTGACAGAAACAGATGTCTGGTTTTCTAAGCGGAAAAAGGGTATGCCTGAAATTTTTATTGAGAACTTGTCTTTTTGTAAATGAAATTTGTTAGAATCAGGTCCTTGGGAAAACAGAGATAGAAAAAGTATTGTAATCCAGCATGGACAATGTAGCTAAAAATGTACTTTGACTTAGTATAATTGTCTTACATGTCTTATATGTTCTTTGGCCTATTAGTCTGGTTTTTCATCTGTATATATGATAATTAACTTTATAAGTTCTTATTAATATATTGAGCCTCCATGAACTAATAATCTTCACAACTTCGCTCTTCACTCTCCTGTTGAATCCCTCTTACTTTCCCTAACCACTGTCTTGAATTTTATGTTTATTATTTTGTTTTAAACAAAAATGTTCTGTGATAATGGCATTTCTTAGGACACCTTTGGATTACAAACAACTACTCTTCCGAGCAGCCCTCGCATCAGTGCTTTAATTAAATTGCATTAGTTAGTGCAAGTACATGTTACTGACTGAATAGTGCTGCCTTCCAGGTGACCTGTGAAAATGGTTCGCTACTCTCTTGACCCAGAAAACCCCACAAAATCATGCAAATCAGGGGGCTCAAATCTTCATGTTCACTTTTAAGAACCCGCGTGAAGCTGCCTGGGCCATCGAGGGTGTGCGTATCTGAAAGGCCACCACGTATTTGGAGGACGTCACATTAAAGAGGCAGTGTGTGCCACTCCGGCATTACAGTGGTGGCGTTGGTAGCTGTGCCCAGGCCAAACCGTGGGGCTGGACACAGGGTTGGTGGCCAAAAACAAGTACTGAATGTTTGCTGCACGTGCTTAAAAGTGCAGAGAGTAGTGCTGAACTTAAGGGTTTAGATGTAGATTCTCTGGTCATTGAACATATCCCAGTGAAGAGAGCACCCAAAATGCGGCCATACTTGCAGAGCTCAGGGCGGGGTTAACCTGTACATGAGCTCCCCCGCCACATTGAGATGACCGTTATTGAAAAGGAACAAATTGTTCCTAAACCAGAGGAGGAAGTTGTGCAGAAGAAAAAGATATCCCAGAAAAAACTGGAGAAACAAAATCTTACAGCATAAAGAAATACATTAAGCATAAAATAAATGCAAATAAAAGTAAAAAAAATAGAATAAAATAAGCAAAAACGTTATTACATAGTAGTGTATGAGTAAGCTAACTCAGCAAAAAAAAAAAATCCTTAAAAAAAAGAAAAAATAATCCTTGATTTGTAGCATTTTTCTCCATGGTATAAATTCATGCAATGTGGCCAATTTCAGGCGAGCAGCATGACAGCTGGGAAGAGATGTCCGTGGTGAGCTCCTTGGAGCAAGCCCAGGTCATTTCATTTGAGCTGTTATGGAACTGCCTCACATCGTGGTTTTAATTTTTATCTCCTCAGTAACTAAAGAGGTTAAATTAAATGGCTCTTATATGTTTATTGATCATGCTGTCTCTTCTGTGAAATGTCTGCTTGCACATTTTTCCTATTTTAATAACAGATTTGTGGGGTCAGGTTTAGCTCAGTGGCACAGAGCCTGCCTGGCAAATGTGAGGTCCTGGGTTCAATTCCTGGTACCCACTCCCCTACAACAAAGCAGATTTGTCTTAATGAATTGTATGTGTTCTTTATATACTCTCAATAACCAATCCTCTGTCATAAATATGTTTTGCCCATACCTTTCAATCTATAGGCTGTCCTTTTACTCAATGTCCTTTGTGAATAGAAGTTCTGAATTTTAAACTTTAGTGTTGTGTCTTGTTTTTTCGTTTTGTTTTGTTTTGGGTTTTGGTTTTTTTTCCAGTACCGGAAATTGAACTCATGACCTCGCGCTTGCCAGGCAGGCGCTGTGTCGCTGAGCTAAATCCCCAGCCTTTGTGTCTTGTTTAAATTGTTTGTAGAATTATTTTATGTAGTCAGATTTCCTGGCTAAGAGCCACATTAATTTTTATCAAACTCCTGAACTAAAAATATAAACAAGGGCTATACAGTATAATAAAGTCTAACTTGATTTGCTTGAAGGACAAAGTATTAGGTTTATGTTACATTATGGCAGTTAAAGATTAGGAAAGTAATAGAGGAGAAAAATGAGGAGAAAATTAAAGAACAGGAAGAGAAATCTGAAAGATAAGGATGGAGAAGTTTAAAAAAATACAAAAGGACTCAATAAAAACAGTAGCTGTTGGGTAAGTGGCAACATAACCTCATGCCGATGTGTGCTCCAGGTGGGTCAAGCACAGAGAGAAGCTAGTCTCTAGCTGAAGTGACAGAGACTAGAATAGGGACTACACTTGATCATAGCTCAAAGCCTGAGAAGCGGTACAGGCCAGGATAGGAAGCTGTGGTCCTGGGATCTTCTTCCTGGCCTCCGTGTATACCAGCGTACAGTGTAAGATAACTCTTCAGGGAGACATTGCATAAAGCAAAATATATATCTAATGCGTGTGGGCCAGGCATGGTGGTGCACGCCTTTAATCCCAGCACTAAGGAGACTGAGGCAGGAGGATCGTTGAGAGTTCGAGACCAGCCTGGGCTACAAAGTGAGCTCAAGGCCAGCCTGAACTGCATAGTGAGACCCTGTCTCTAAAAGACAAAAAATTTTAAAAAAATTTTAAAAATCTAATGCATGTATTTTTCTGAGGACTTTATAGAATCATTTCAAACAGTTGTAAAATTTCAAAAGTGATGCATACTGAGAATATAGTAGAGAAAAATCACTTGTAGTCCCTTCACCTGCTATATGTTGGTATATCTTTTAAATTTTTTTTATTGTCTGACTTTTCAGGTATATAAGGGTCCAGTTTAAAAGCAACAACCTGCCTGGCAAGTGCAGGGTCCTGAGTTCAATTCCCAGTAGCAAAAAAACCAAAAATGCTTATAAACCAGGGATATAGCTCAGCGGCACAAGCGCCTGCCTGGCAAGCTCATGGTCCCAAGTTTGATTCCCAGTTCCACAAAAAAAAAAAAAGACAAACCAAAAACAAAGGAATTGGGGCTGGGGATTTAGCTCAGCGGCACAGCACCTGCCTGGCAAGCGTGAGGTCATGAGTTCGATTCCTTGTACCAGAAAAAAAAGAATTTAAAAACCAGGCTTAGTAGTGCATGCCTGTAATCCCAGCACTCTGGAGGCTGAGACAGGAGGATCGTTGTGAGTTCAAGGCCAGCCTGAGCTACAAAGTGAGCTCAAAACCAGCCTGAACTGCTCAGCAAGAGCTTGTCTCAAAAAGACAAAAAAAAAGGGAAAAGAAACAATAACAGCAGAAACATTTTCATACAATTATAGTTAAGGATTGATACTGAATTTGGTTAATATAATTAGAATAGGTACATGTTGATCAGCAAGACACTTTAAAACAAATTTTTTGGATTCCACAAATTCATGCGAAAGCATTGAACCAGTTTCCTCTACAGTCTTGAAGAAAAGGCTCCCGGAGGATTATCAGATTTCTCTAAGACTGTCTAGAATTAGAATGTTACGCTCATGTGGCGGAGCACCTGTGAGGACATGCTGCATTCTTGGCCAGGCGTGGAGCTGCACGCCTGTGATCCCAGCAGCTGAGGCAACAGCATTGCTGTGAGCTCAGAGCCACACTGAACAAGACTCTGTTTCAAAAAAAAAAAAGTGGTGTTCTCAGTATGTACCGCATGCATTTTGCAAATTGGCTTTTTTTTCTAGCAGTACTGGGGATTGAACTCAAGAACATGCTAACGCTGACCTACATCTCCACCTCTTTTTCTTTTTTAGTCACTAAATTGTCCCGATTGGGCTTAAATTTGTGATCCTCATGCTTCAGCCTCCTGAGTTAAAGGAAACTAGCGCATTTACTTCAGCCTATGAACTAGAACGGTTATCTTTTTTTTTTTTAAGCTGCCAGGCATGGTGACATATACCGATAATCCCTGCACTGTGGAAGGTGAAGGCAAGAGGATCACAAGTTTACCCCAGCGTGGACTAATGATTTAGTGAGACCCTGCCTAAAAAAAAACAAAAAGAGTAAGGGGTGGAGCCTGAAGGTGTAGCTCAATGTGGAGCATCTGGGTTCAGTCCCCCATACTAAAAAGAGAAAAAGGGGCAAGAGGTGTAAATCCAACCACATACCTGAAATAAATAAGAAAAGTTAACTACCTTTTAAAATGAGTGTGCTCTTTCTTATGTTCTTTCCGTGACTTTTAGCAAATGCCAGAGGAATGCCAAAACATGTATAAGGTAGAATTACAAGAATTCTTTACCTTATGTATTGTTACCATTTGCAATTTTAAAAAATAAGTACTCTGGTGTGGAGAACAACTTTCTAGTTCATGGTAAACTCTTATTTCACATAAGGCATGATTTGAGACACAATGATCCATAATAGAAACTGTCTTTTTTTTTTTTTTTTTTTGAGACTGGGTCTCACTAGATAGTTCAGGCTGGCCTTGAACTTAGCACAACCTGTGTGCCTCAGCCTCCTGAATATGGGGATTACAGATGTGTGCCACCCTGCCCAGCTTTTTTACTGGAGGAGACTTAATATTTCCTTCCTATGAATGAAAGTACATTGGAATGCAATTTAAGGTTTTAGAATAACCTTAAATTCTTCCTAAGTGAAAATATAAAATATTCATTTAATTCATGAACTCTATGTGAATAATAAATTAACACTATTCATGTATTGCAAATTATGTTAACTTGTCTTTTTTAAGACAAGAGGTTTAATTTGGCTCAGGGCTGACAATGTCATGTTGGGTTGGGTTGGGTTGGGTGGGCTGGGTGGGTTTGGCCTGGTTTTTTGAGACAAGGTCTTGCTATACAGTTCAGGCTGGTCTTTAACTCACTAGGTAACCTATGCTGGCCTCAAACTTGAAGCAGTCCTCCTGCCTCAGCCTCCCAAGCACTGGAATTACAGGTGTGCACCACCACACCTAGGTCTAATGTCTTGTATTTTAATATTTAATATATTAAGTAGTATTTATCCCCTATAGCTGCAGGGTTTTTTGTTTTTTGTTTGGTTTTTTTTTTTTTTTGGTACCAGGAATTGAACTCACAACCTCGTGCTTGCCCAGCAGGTGCTCGGGCCACTGAGCTGTATCCCTGGCCCTTATCCCCTATAGCTGAAGCAAAAGTTAAAAGAAGCAGCAGAAATTCATAAAAGTACTTACTAATAATACCAAGAGATGTTCCATGCACTGTGTATCTTGTGAAGACGGATGAGTTAGGCATTTGGGCTCCAGAGTTTCACTAGAATATTCAGTCCTTGGGAAGGGGGTTCTGGAGCAGTAGTAGTCTACAGAGTTTTGTCAGACCTTCCTTTCCCCCCTTGTTGCACTGTAAGCTCCAAACTCTAAAAAGTATACAGCTAAATTCCAGCAATGATCTGATTAGTACCAATTTCTAAATCTCCCTAAATTTTTATCCTCACACTTTGGATTTATAAAATTCTTCAGTCTTGAAATTAGCTTATCTATATTTTACTGGAGAGTGTGTGTATGTCTATCCATAAAAACGTTTAGGAATACAATAATAATAGATTTTTTAATGGCTATTTGCTCATTTGCTGTTTGTTTGTTTGTTTTTCAGATTTTGAAAGTATGGCCTTCCTTGAAACTGAGCAAGGAAAACCGTTCATGTCTGTGTTTAGACATTTACGGTTACAGTATATTATTAGTGATCTGGCTTCTGCAAGGATTATTGAACAAGATTCTTTAGTACCTTCAGGTAAGAGAGTATGATGAATTCATGATTTTAAATTACATTTTTTGATGACGGTAACATATATGATAGAAAAGGGTAATGGAGAAAATAATTGTCCTTAATCCCAAAAAGGTATGTATCTTTATCCAAATGGAACTATACTGTATAGGTAATTTTCTGCCTGTACAGTATATGTGGTGGCTATTTTCCCATATCACATTTCATTAAACATCCTCTAGAATATTAAAATAGCACTCTGTAGTACAGTGTTCTTTAATTTTATTTAGGAAGCCAGGCATGATGGTGCATGCCTGTAATCCCAACACTCAGGAGGCTGAGGCAGGAGGATTGTTGAGAGTTCGAGACCAGCCTGGGCTACAAAGTGAGCTCAAGGCCAGCCTGAGCTGCATAGTGAGACCCTGTCTCAAACAGACAAAGGAAAAAGAAAATTATTTAGGATTTTTTTTTTCTTTCAGTACTGAGGATTGAACCCAGGATCTTCACACTGAGCTGCATCCCCTGTCTACATCTTATTTTGAGACAGGGTTTCACTAAATTGCTAATTTGCCCAGGCTGGGCTCAAATTTCAGTCCTCCTGCCTTAGCATCCCAGAGTGCTGGGATTGCAGGTGTGCACCACACCCATTCTTTCGTTATTAACCAGCACTGTTTTAGATCAGACCTTTTTTTTTTTTTTTTTGGAACGAGGAATCAAACTCAGGACCTTGTGCTTGCCAGGTAGGCACTGTGCAACTGAGCTCTATCCCCGGCCAGATCAGACTTTTTAAAATGACTTTGTAAGTATTTAAAAGTCGCAACTAGCAGGGCATGATGGCATTTGTCTGTAATTCCAGCACTTGGGAAGCTATGGTTAGAGGATCACAGTGAGTTCAAGGCCAACCTGAACTACATAGTGAAACCTGTCTCAAAAAAAAAAGTAAAATAAAAACAAAAGTCGTAACTTTTCTATTAGTACTCTTTAAATTCAGTTATTTGGTTTTTCTTTTCTTATTCTCAACTTTTTTTGTTTTGTTTTTTGTGTTACTGGGGATTGAGCCCAGGGCCTTTGCACTGAACTACATACGTGGCCCTTTTTTATTTTGAGACAAGATCTTACTAAATCACTAAGTTGTCCAAACTGGGCTCAAACTTACACTCCTTCCATCTCAGCCACACCAAAATGCTAGGATTACAGGAGTGTGCCACCATGTAAAATCTTACATTTTTAATAATAGTATCCAAATCTAGTTTTTCTAATGTATAGTCTTCATCTACTAATTTAGAGACAGTTCGTTTCCTAAAGGATGAATTAATTGCTATTTTCAGATAAAGGAAAAATCCTTTATTCAATTTTCTGTTAGAAGTTTTATAAAAATTGGAAATACTGCTTTAGGAATGATTTTGACAAAATGAAATTAATGTAAACTCTTATCTATTAAATTCAAGAATGTACTTTTAGCTAAGGACTTTAATCCTAATTGAACCTAAATGTATTACTTTAAGTAAAATCTGCTTTGAGGCAAAACTGGATAACCTTCACCACCTCAAAGATCATTAAGCCGTTATCATGACAGCATATTTGTAAAATATAAGCTACCTGCTTTTTATGTGGGTATTTGAAACTTGAAATGAGAAATGGTAACAATTTTATCAACTACTTACAATGTTACACCCTCTCTGTTCTCCTGTTTGTGTCTGTCATTAATTAATGTTTATGCTGAAGAATGGCTGTCTTCGGTGTACAAACAGCAGTGGCTTGCTATGCTGCGGGCAGAACAGGACAGTGAAGTGGGGTGAGTGTATTGCATCATACTGTTGTTCACTAAAATCGACAGTAATTTTTTTGTGGTTCTGGTGATCAGACCCAGGGCCGCCTCTTACGTGGTCTGCAAGCACTTTATCACTAAGCTGTATCTCTCATCCCAAAAAAGAAAATAATTTGCCATGAATTTTTAAGTGCAGTCATTATATTGAAAAATCAATTCTAAATTAAAAACTTGAACTATTAGAGAAATAATCATGTGATCAAATTTTATTATATTTTTAAGACATCAGTACTACAAATATCTTTCTGGTCAATTAGTATAATAAAGTGTTTGAATTGTCACTTGCTGTATTACTAAAGTTGAGTGATTCACATACTTGGTTTTATCTGGTATGATTTAGTTTCAACATACTGAAACATTACTTGAAGTAATACTATTAAAAAGCATGACTTTCATATTTACCTTATAGGTAAAGCTAGTTGGGGTAGTATTACCAAGTTCTGAGTAATACGTAGGTTGTTCTGAAGATCTTTGAATCAAAAATGAATTAAACATGCCCTTTCCAAAAGCATATAACACCCTTACAAAATATTTCTGCAGTTCACAGAAGATACTTTCGCATTTGTTATTTGATCATGGTGCTAGCTCCTTTTTTTTTTTTTTAGCTCCATGAAGTAGGTGGAATGAATAGTCTACCTGTGAGTACATAGAGGAAACCTTAAAAAGTTTTAATTTTTCTGCCTCAAATTTCTTTTAACACATTCCTTTGTACCGCAAAGAATTTCCCAAAATAATGGCTAATTATAAGTTTATATCCAGTCAGTGAATGCATGAAAGTGTTATATAAATTTATAATGATTATAAAATTATTGTTATCCATGACTTACAGTTTTTATTTTATGTATAATCCCATCTTTTTCCAAGCATATTCACAGCATAGTTATCCAGTACAAATATAGTAAAATAGTTAAAACAGAAATATAAATCAAAGTCAGATGTGGTGGTACACACCTGTAATCCCAGCACTCAGGAGGCTGAGGCAGGAGGATCGCTGAGAGTTCAAGGCTAGCCTGGGCTGCAAAGTGAGCTCAAGGCCAGCCTGAACTGTGTAGTAAGACCCTGTCTCAAAAAGACAAAAAAATAAAAAAAGAAATATAAAGCAAAAACAAAAAAAATGAGTTATTTAATGGAATTCAGATTTAAAGCATTTTGTAACATGAAATGCTATAAATCATTCTACATGTTTTATTTTTGAGATTTTTCTCACCTTCATCCTTACTAAGGATTAATATATAATCTTACCTAAGAAACGGAGGTAAAGGACGTTTTCTTGACCTCGAAAGTATATGATTAGGGCCACCGGTGTAGCTCCGTGGTAGAGTACTTGCCTAGCGTATGTGAGGTGCCTTGGCTTCAGTCTCCGGCACTGAAAAGGACATAGTAGTAGTAGTAGTAGTAGTAGTAGAGGTAGATGACGATGATGATACTGCCCTGGTAAATGTTACATGCCATGACACCGAATGTGTGGTCACAGCTAGCTACAGGACTGCCAGCGTGCGGAAGGCGGTGTATGTGCTGGCTTCTAGGTTATAATCTAGCAGCATCTCCCTCCAGGGCTGTCCTCACCCAAGCTCTCTCCACAGTGCCGAAGGGTCGTCTTTTTAAAACAAATATATCTGTGTCGCTTCCTTTCTTAAATATGTCCAGGGACACTTGATGACAGGTAAGAGAGGTTACTGCTTGCTATTCAAGATTATTGAGGTGAGATGGTGAAAAGCTTTGGCTCATTTTCTCTACCTCCATATGTTTGCAGTTTGTCATAATAAAAGTTTCACAGTAACGGAACACATGTCTGGGAACTCTCACCTACAGGAAAGGTTAAAACGTGTTAGCGCGGCCGAGGGAGCCTTCAGCAGTTTGTCCCAGATGCCTTTAGTTTCATCTCTTCTTACGCTCACCTTACGCTCCAGCTGCCCTAAATTCTTTGTTCCTTTGATATTCTGTTATTCTTCAGTCCGTTTTTAATAGGTAAAAAATGGATAGCAAACTCTTCCTCTGCATGTGTTCCCTTCCCCCGTACAGAACACACCTCCCAGCTCCGCACACCAGGCTCCCACTCAGGCGGGAGCGTTTCCTCTGTGACGCCCCCTCCACTCGGTGATGAATCTTGCCTCTCTCCGCATTGTCACGGTCACTGTTTGCATGAATTTTCTACTTGCCCGGGCTCTTAGGTATCAGGGACATGTTTTATTTATACTTACTGTTGTTACTACGTATTACTTCCCCATGTTTGGGCACTTCGTGTTACTTACCCCCATAAAATTACTATTAAATGTAGAGGCAAGATTTTGTTTTTTACTTGCAGGTTTTCTTCAATTACTAGTTGCCTATTTTCTATGAAAATTCATGACTTAATGTATATTTTTTAGGCCTCAAGAAATCAACAAAGAAGAACTAGAGGGAAATAGCATGAGGTGTGGTAGAAAACTTGCCAAAGACGGTGAAGTAAGTGTGTGTTTATTAACAGTGTTAATATTCTCATATAAGTTGTTGAGAAAATTTGGCTCCATATTTTCTCTAGTTTGATGTTTGCAGTTTTTCAGAGTCAGGTTAAAAGCAACAATATCTGAGAGCTCTTGCCATTAATTCGCTTTACATAATACTCATGACACCTGACACACTTCAGAAGTGCTTATTTGATGGTTTCTGTAGCATGATGTCCTATATCACCATGCCCGGTATAGACTGGTTACTCGCCCTTGTATGAGTCCGTTGAACTTGAATTTTGGGTCCAGGTAAGAGATTTGAGAAAAAGATCTCTTGGCAGTCCAGAAAGCAAGATAAAGAAGTTATGTGGGGCTTGGTGTGGTGGCACATGGCTGTTATCTCAGCACTTGGGAGGCTCAAGCAGGAGTATCACTGTGAGCTGGAGGCCAGCCTGGACTACATAGCGAGTTCAAGGCTAGCCTGAAACTATGTAGCAAGACCTTGTCTCAAAAAAAAAAAGTTATGTAGGAGTTGTTACATAGTCTTTAAAAGTGATTCATTTTATAAATATCCTAAATTAAAGGCATTCAAGTCCTTTATTTGCCTTTTTCTTTTCATTTATATATATATATATATATATATATATATATATATATATATATAAAAAGTACACCTTATCCTTGCTGTGTCTAGAGAACCTGTTTTCTAATGTTTTTAAAAGCTGATTTTTAAAGAGCTGATTGTGACCCATGACATCAATTTTGTAGCCTAATCATAATTTTCATCCTAATCAGGTCGCCATCTGTTTTTTTTTCTCCCAAATCTACCCTCCTTTAACTTTGTAAATGTCAGTTATTCATGTTTGCATTCCCAGTGTGATGAGTGTGCGGAGTGTGAGTTACCTTTTTTGTTCCTCCTCCTTCCTTGTTGCTGCTTCCAGATCTTGTTCCTCTTTCATCCCTCTTGAGTCCTCGCATCTTCAAAGCCCTTTACAGCGGCTGTCATGGGGCTCGCACTTGTCAGCACGGTCCTTATCAGCTGTGACTTCGATGTCTGCTCCCTGACCTTCCTCCCCCGTGATCTTGTGTTCCACCGCACCTCAGGCGCCCACTCCCATAAGGATGCCCTCAAGGTTCGCACCACTGGTTGCTGCCACCTTCAGAACCCCATTTGGGGTCCCGCTTGCTCTTAGCCTTCCAGCTTTCTCCCTGTGGTACCCGGATTGCAGCAGTGGTGTAATCCCACAGGAGGCACAGTGAACTATTCTTACTGCCTTTTTTCCAGTCACCTCTCTCACCACATCCCTACCTCTTTCTTTACTTGTAGTTTATGTTCCATATTAAAATCGGCCTTTTTAGTTTCCCTTTTCCCTCACTGACTCCTTTGTACTCACCTGGCTAAACCCCAACTTGTTTTATGTTTTTTGTGTGCTAGAGATCGAACTTAGGACCTGTGCATGCAAGGCAAGAACTCTCCCACTGAGCCACATCCCTAGCCCGCCAGCTCTTTCTCCATCCTGCCTTTTTGTGCACTTCATGCCTACACCCAAGTAGACGGATGTGACAGATGCACCATGTCCCTTTAATGTTGTGACCACACGTGAACGCCAAAGGGTCTTCAGTGCTGCCTGGTGATTCCCCCACATCCCGAGTGAATTTCTGCTCCTCCTGTCTGACGTGACTCGTACCTTCTCTCTTCAGAAGGGCAGTGCTGCACGGTGGCCTTGTTTCTTCTGCAGCAGGAGGAGGCCCTGTACGTCTTACCGTCATTCACAGTCTGCCTGCACCAGTGGCAGTGCCTGTGCTCTCCGCTCTGAGAGCGGCTGCACCGTCTCTGTCTTAGTCCGCCCCCTCCCCCTGCACTCAGAGTTTTAACCTGTCACCATTTCCTCCCGTTCTTCAATCGTCAGGGGCTCTTTCCTTTGAATTATTCTCATTTAGCGTTTAATATCTTGCAGAATCGTCTGTCTTAAACTATCTCTTGCCTCCTCATGCTCCTCTAGCTCCACTCTATTTCTCTGCACCCCTTTTAGACAAAACTCATTGAAAACGCTGCCTGTATTCACTCTCTACTCAATCTGTTTTTTGTTTTTGTTTTTTTTTCGGCTTTTTTTTTTTTTGTCTTTTTGGGACAGGGTCTCCCTGTGCAGTTCAGGCTGACCTTGAGCTCACTTTGTAGCCCAGGCTGGCCTCAAACTCGCAACAATCCTCCTGCCTCAGTTTCCCAAGTGCTGGGATTACAGGCCTGCGCCATCACACCTGGCTCACTCTACTCAATCCTGTCCAAGGCCAGTGTAGTTGTGTTGTTTTGTCTGTAGCCTCTAGATTATCTACAACTGCTGGTGTTCGTCGCTGCTCCATACCTTCTGTACTACACTCCCAGTTCATCTGCACAGCTCCACTGAAACTGCCGCGCCAGTGCCAGCAGTGGCCCCCACTGCTAAGCCAAGTAGCCCGTAGCCTTACTCTGGCAGCTCTCAGCGGCATCGACCTGTTTCCTCAGTTATTGCTGAAAGATCTTCTCCACTTGGCTTATAGGAGAGCATTCTCTTCTGCTTCTTCTAAAGTCTTTTCCAAGAGCTAGGCCTGGTGGCACACCACCTACTCAGATGCTGAGGCAGAAGGATCGTTGCGAGTTCGAGACTAGCCTGGGCTACAAAGTAAGCTTAAGGCCAGCCTGAACTGCATAGTGAGACCCTGTCTCAAAAAGACAAAAAATAAAATAAAATAGTCTTTGCTAGATGGTTCTTACCCCGCAAATGCTGCTGTGGCTGTAGGCTGCGTTTTTGCACTTCTTACCCTGCTTGCTCCCAGTCCTGGGATGTCAGTCCATCTATCTCTTCACTGACCCCCTAACTCCAAGTCCACGTGTCTGATTGTTCAGTGGCTGTTTCTTGGATATCTTATCACGTCTCATACATAATGTTCCTGGAGGTGGAGGTGTGGCTCAGTGGTGGAGTCCTTGCCAGGCATGTGCAAGCCTTTGGGTTTAATCCCAGGCACAACCAAAAGCAAAGAGACCTAAATAATGAAACAACCCCGCTGTCTGAAGCAGAGCACTTGAGTTTCATCCCTAAATAACCTCGGTGCCCAATAGTCAGTGCATAGACAGCCCCTCCATTCATCCATGTACAGGCTCCGAACTTGGGATTCATTTTGGATTTCACTTTCTTTCATACCACTCCTGGTGTCCGTGGGAAATTCTGCAACGCTCTGTGCCTAAAATACATTGTTTTTTGTTCTTTTTTTGTCTTTTTGAGACAGGATCTCGCTATGCAGTTCAGGGTGGCCTTAAGCTCATTTTGTAGCCCAAGCTGGTCTCAAACTTGCAGTGATCCTCCTGCCTCAGCCTCCCGAGTGCTGGGATTACAGGTGTGCACCACCACGCCCAGCCTGAAATACACTGTTCACATGCCTGCCACTAATACCCAAGTCCAGGTCACCGCGTGCCCCCACCTGGGCTACTGGAGTAGCCTCAAAGTCCAGGTCACCGCGTGCCCCCACCTGGGCTACTGGAGTAGCCTCAAACTGCTCTTCTGTTTCACTTGCCGTTCATGCAACAGCCACAGTGCTCTTTCTAAAGTGCAGGTTGGATTCTGTCATTTCCTTCTGTAATGGCTTCTCTTCACCTCTCACCACACTTAGAAGAGGGCTGCCCTCTTCCTTACCCTGGGCTACGGGGCCTGCCTCTCCGGCCTGGCTGTCTCTGAACTCTTCTCCAGGTTTAGCCCAGTCGGCCATTGCCCTGGCCACGTAGCCCTGCCCGCTTTAGCTACGCCAAGCAAGCTCTCGCCTCTGGACCTTGGTACTTGCTCTTCTCTCTTCCCGTGACACTTTCCCCGGGCAAGTACCAACTCTGCTTCGCTTAGTCGCCTCAGGACTTCCCTGAGCGCTGTGTAAGTTAGCAGGCTTCCCACCTGCAAGCTGCCCGGTACCCTGCGGCTGTCTCCTGACATCTCATCTCCATCCTGTGAGCGTTATTCCTCCTTCCTCCCACCACACAGACATGTTCATGTAGTGGGATATAAACCCTGCTAGAGCAGAAGCTTCATTTTATTTGCCTTGTGTTTCCATTGCCTAGAGCAATAGCAATGCCTGGCATATTTGCTTAACACATACTAGGTAAATATTGAATTAATGTTTGTTTTTTATTTTAAAGACTAAAAGAAAGACAACATAGCAATAGGGGGATACACCGAATTACAGACAAAGTGCTAGGGCATTATCAGTGGTTCTTATTTTACCTATTGGTATCTTCAAGATAGTTTCTCGGGAATACAAATAGACAAATAATAGTGAATTACAGACAAAAATAGCAGGAAATTATCAATGGTAGCTGTACTATACCTTGGTTACTCCAAAGTGGTCTCTAGGGAAAACAAATAGAGCTATACATGAGTGATCAATCAAATAATTGACTATTCTCAATGATCAATCAAATCATTGACTATTCTCAATGGTTGTTGTTGAAATCACATAGTAACAAACATACATCCATTTACGAAATAGCACAGGAACAATACAAACATTATAGAGTTATGGACAGATTGGTAGGACATCATCAATGGCTGCTGCAATACATGTTGGCATCCTCAAAGTGGTTTCTCAGGAAAACAAAGATATGCAAGAAATATCCAACAAGTAGTTATAGCCCAAGGGTTGCAAAAATAGCAGATTACCTCCTCATCAGTGACTCCCCTCACTGAGGTGTGACAGCTAGAAGGAAGGCCAGGACTGAAAAGAAGGACCAAGAGACCAGCACCAGTGTCCAGCAAGGGGCCGTCCACTTTTTGCTATAGTCTTGATTTCACTGGGCTCCTCCTTGGAGACAACAGTCCGGCCAGAGGGAGAAGGCAGAGTATGCCCTGCGCCCCTTCATTCCTGCCGGACCAACTGGTAGGAGGGGTCCGAGTCCCGGGGCCCCCGCTCCAGAGGGCCGCCTGACCTCCAGTGGCCAGCCCTACAGTCAGGGCATGGCCCAGGGGGCCTCCAAGGGCAGTCCCTCTGGAGGTTGCCCTGCCCCCAACAGTGGCACCAGACGAATGCAGTTGATGAACCCCCGCAACTCCCGGGCCCCAAGAACCAGACCCAGGGTCTGCCTCTCCCAGTGCTGCAACAAAGGCAGCCATCGCCTCTCGGTCTGTCTGCCCTCTCCTCTTGGCCTCCCCTTTGCTACGGCCACAAAACACTGAGGAGGCAACTCCCACCAACATCTCAAGTGAGCCATCCGGGGAAAAAGCCATCCTCCGCAGCCCCCTTCCACTATCTGGGGCTGACTGAGCATCAGACACATCCTCAAGAATAGTTTGTCCCTCTTCTGAACTGGGATCCAGGGAAGTATGCTTTATCAGTGCCTCTTGTCTAAGAAAGCAGAGGGGTGTTCTCTCCAGCCCCCCAGCGCATTGGGACCCCGCAACCACTTAGTGTCCTCCCCAGCCATCAACACAGGTGGCAGGAACATGTGGATGAGGTCCTCGGCCCTCTAGTCAATCTCAGCACCATCAGGTGCGAAGTACCCCAGGCAGGAAACCTAGACATGTACCTTCTCCATGAAGGCGGGTCTATAGAATCTGAATATTGGGCACCCACGTAATCCATGAAGTCTCAGTGCAGACCTCTCCGGAGCTCCACTCGCTCCTCCCCCGCAGCCTGTACAGTTAGGGGAAGAATGGCCCCCAGGAGTCTCCCCAGGTATTGTGCAAGGTCCTCCTGGTTTCCGGCTCCCAAATGGCTCTCGAGTCCCCAGTCAGCCCGACCTCTGAGTCGTCGGGCATTGTTACTCTTGTGTTCCCCGAGTCCTGGTTCATCAGCTGCTCCTCTGACTCCAGGCTTTTCTGGCTCTCAAGAGCACGGCCAAGAGCGACCCGCCATGTGGCATGTTCTCCCAGAGGTTTCTCCATGTCGGGATGGTTCACGCACGCCGGGCGGGCCTGTTGTGTCAGTGCTTCTCTGTGGCATGGCGGTTCTCGACCGCGCAGCGGCGGCCGGCCCGAGGGCCAGCGCGCATCTCTGCCCCACTTCCCGGGTGCCTGCTGCCTGCCTTTCCAGGCGGCTGTGCAGCGGGGCTGCGCCGGGCCCACCAAATATTGAATTAATGTTATAATTCATGATCTCAAACAAACCTTTCAAGCCCCCAACTTTACTTCCCTGTACCACCCTACTGTCCCTAATACTCTCATTGACTATTCACTGACAGAAAAACAAACTCGGAGCCTCACAATACATTTTTAAAAACCCAGTTCTGCCAGGCATGGTGACACACACCTGTAATCCCAGCACTCAGGAGGCTGAGACAGAAGGACTGCTATAAGCTCCAGGCTAGCCTTTGCTGCATAGTGAGTTGAAGACCAGCCTGAACTGCATAACAAAACTTTGTCTCAAAAAGACAAAAAGTAATAATAACAACCCAGTTGCATGTATTTCTGTTTGTTAATTACTTAAGGTATTTTAGACTGTTTTTAAAGTAAGGTGAGGGTCAGGGATATACCTCAGTGGCACAGCTCCTGCCTGGCAAGCACAAGATCCTGAGTCCAATTCCTGGTACCAATAAATAAATGAATAAATAAACAAAGGAGGGAAAGTGAATATTAATGGGTTCTTAGTACTTCAGCTAGCCATACTTAGAACTGCAGTGAAAACATTGTGGTAGAATTGCAGTGTGGAGGGCTTGAGAAGCTCTAATCATGAAGCTGCTTTTCCAGCTCAGGTATATTATTTTGTGGGCAAAATGCTTGGAATGAGTTAGCTTTTCATTTTTGACTTACTAACATGGTAAACTAAACTAAACCTCTCTTTTGTGTCTTTTAGTACTGCTGGCGGTGGACAGGTTTTAACTTCGGCTTTGACCTACTTGTAACTTACACCAACCGGTACATTATTTTCAAACGCAATACACTGAATCAGCCGTGTAGTGGATCTGTCAGTTTACAACCTCGAAGGAGCATAGCTTTTCGGTAGGGTGAGATTTCCCTGGCTACTCCTTCTCACTCTGGAGGAAATATAAGAAATAAAATTAAAACTTGATCTTTCATACCACTAATAGAACTTTGGTAAGATACAGAATAATACACAGCATATGCAAAAGAAATAGCTGGGTGTGGTGGCACACACCTGTGATCCCGGCACTCGCTAGGCTGAGCCAGGAGGATCTCTTTGAGTTCAAGGCCAGCCTGAACTACATAGTCTCAAAAAAAGAAAAAGCACACAAATGGGCTAGGAACTAATAAGGCTTAATTGCTGTGAAATGTATGGTATTATTGATAAAGTCAAGAGATCTAGTTGTGTCAGAGAAATGGATAAGCAAGAATATGAATGATAAGAGGATGGATACTAGGCTTGAAGCTATTTGCCTTGTTGGTATTTCTAGCAAATAAAATGTCCTAACTGGAAATATGGCAAGGTAGTTTTCTAGGAATACATGTCTAGTATTATTCTTAACTTTGTTAACTTTTGGAATTTGAGATACCCAGCTTTACCTGATAGTTGAGGTAGCAGTCCTTTTTGGAGAGGATGTTGTAGGCCAGCAAATTGGAAAATAGCTGATAAACAAATTATTTTAAAATCACATATTATACTTACCTTATACTATAAATAAAAAATTAACTCAACATGAATGGAACATAATGTGATGTAAGAGCTAAAACTGCAAACCTCTGGAAGAACGTAAAAAGACTTTGTAACATTTGATTTGGCAGTTATTTCTTTGGTACAACACCAAAAGCATAGGCAACAAAAAAATCAATAATTGGACCTCATCAAACTAGAAATTTTGTATCAAAAATTTTTTGTTAGGGTCTGGGGATTTAGCTCAGCGGCACAGCGGCTGCGGGGCAAGCACAAGGTCGTGAGTTCGTTTCCTGGTACCGCAAGAAAAACAAAAAACAAAAAATTTTTTTTTGTTGAGGGACACTGTCATTGCTAAAAAGGCAATGCTAGCATGAGAGAAAATACTTATAAATCATGTTGTGGTAGAAGTTAAAATAGCTAGAATACATAGAAAACTCCTAAAAACCTAGAATTTTAAATTTTAAAAACAGACATGTGTAGTTTCAGCTGTTTGAGAGGCTGAGGCAGAAAGACTGGTTGAGCCCACCAGTTTGCAGCCAGCATGGACAATATAACAAGACTTAAAGGAAAGGGGCTGGGGGCAAAAAACCTGGATTAAAAAATGAGCAGAGGCAATTGGAGAGCACTTGCCCAGCATGTATGAGGCCCTGGGTTCAGTCGTCAGCACTACCAAGAAAATAAATAAAAAGAACAAAAAGATTGCATAAAATTTCCCCAAGAAGGGCTGGGAATATAGCTCAGCGGCACAGCGCCTGCCTGGCAAGTATGAGGTTGTAAGTTTGAGTCCCAGTATCAAAAAAAAAAAAGGAAAAGAAAGAAAATTTCCCCAAGAAGATACACAAATGTCTAATAAATACATACAAAGGTATATAGTATCTCTAGTCACTAGGAAATGCAAATGAACACCACAGGGAGATACTGCTTCATGCCTATTAAAGATGGCTATTCAAAACAAGTGTTGGTGAAGATGTGGAATAATTAGAACCTTTGTGCGCTGCTGGTAACCATGTGTAGTGGTGCAACTACTGTAGAAAACACTGTGATGCTTTGCTAAAAATCAAATATAGCATTGACATGCGATCCACCAATTCCTCTTCTGGGTATACTCAGAGGTATTTGTATGCTTACGTTCGTAGGAGCATCATTCATAGTAGACAAAAGGAAGAAACAACTGTCTGTCCACTGACAGATAAATGGGTCACCACAGTGCAGTGGCATACATACAGTCCAACATTTTCAGTCTTAGAAGGGAAGGAAACTCCCAACACATGCTAACCTTGAATGAGAGCCGGGCGTGGTGGCACATGCCTATAATCCCAGCACTCATGAGGCTGAGAGGCTGAGGCGGGAGGATCCCTTGCGCATTTGAGGCTAGCCTGGGCTACAAAGTGAGTTGAAGGCCAGCCTGAACTACAGAGCGAGACCCTGACTCAAAAAATTAAAAAAATAAACTTTAATGAACTTAAATGAAATAAACCTATCACAAAAGCACAAATAATCATGATTGTACTCATACGAGTTACATATAGAGTGGACAAATCCACAGAAAGGAAACTGGAGTTGCTAGGGCTGGGGGAAGGGAAAATGGGGAATTAGTGTATAATAAATACAGAATTTCAGTTTGGGAAGATAAAAATGTTGTAGAGATGGGCGATGATTATGCAATTTGTATGTTATGCCACAGATTCAAATGTAGGGGCTGGGGAAATAGCTCGGCGGCACAAGTGGCTGTCTGGCAAGCACAGGGTCATCCTGAGTTCGATTCCCAGTACCTAAACTTTCATGTTCTGTAAATTTCATAGTTTTTAAAAGTCATTTATAAATTTTTTTGATGTTTTAGTTACGTTTTGTAGCACAGGTTTGTAAATCTGGAATCAATTTACTATTTGAAAAGAAAATATGGATGAGAAAAATATTAAAGTGAGATAAGGCTTGGTTAATTTATGATTTAAAAATCACACTTTTGGTTTTTTTTTAATCCTAGACTTCGTTTGGCTTCTTTTGATAGTAGTGGAAAACTAGTATGTAGTAGGACAACCGGCTATCAAATACTTACCCTTGAAAAGGATCAGGTATGTTTGATTACTTTTCTATTGTTTCATTATAATATTTGTGTTTTGAATACTCTTAAAAATTAAGTGAACTTGACATTTAAATGATACTTTGAAGTAAAGATAGATTTGCAGGGAAAAAAAAAAGATATGCGGGCTAGGATATAGCTCAGTGGCACAGGCATCTGCCTGGCAAGTGCAAGGTCCTGAGTTCAATTCCCGGTACCAAAAAAAAAAAAAAGAAAAACAAAGTTATTAGATACTGATTCGTTGTATACATAAGTGCATGTTTTATAAGCAGACATCTTGAGGCAATACAGTATGTCACCACAGCTCCTGAATATTAAGAAAACAGTTTTCTCCAGCATATTAGGTTTGTAAGGTGACAAACATCCGTAATGTCCTCCAAATTATTTCTAAAGCAGTTTCTTTCTTTATACATCATATGCATGTAGAAGTTTCAAAATGTTGGGGTGACAAGGTACCAAAGTACAGATAGTCATGGCTCAAGTAGCCAGAAAGTTAAAGAGTACCTGGCCATGCACTTGCCTAGGGTGTACAAGGCCCTGGGTTCTCTCCCCAGCACTGGAAAAAATAAAATAATGTTTGTAAAATGTACCTGGCCAAGATAAAAATGGGTTTTTAAATGTTGCTTGATTTTTTTTTTCCATTCTGCACACATTGATCTCTGCTGTGTGCTAGGTTCTATGCAAAAGGAGTATTGGAAATAAGCACCGCTTGCGTCACTGTCGCCTTGTACGGGAGGCCAAAGGATCTCTGACTGACGCACAGCCTGGGCTGTGGAGCTGAGGGGGGCGGTTATTGAAGGCCAAAGGGAAGTCCGCTCAGGGAGAGCCTCCTCCCCTGGAAAAAGTGCAGAGTGAGTGGACACTGAGCCAGCCCCAGAGGAGTGAGGCGGGTGCAGGGAGCGCGTTGCTCACTTACGGAACCGAAAGGCAAACAGAGAGCCGGGCATGGGGGGCTGTCAGTGGAGCGCGGAAATATTTTAGTGAGGGAGTTGTACATGTGTGTTCTATGTAGGTTGTAAATGTGTGTATCTGTTTCCCAAAATTAGGTCTCATAACTCTTTTATAACTTGCTTATTTTTTATGGTGAAAAAATTATATTTAGAATTAACCAAGTGGATTCAATTGAGATGTTCCCAGTTTTGTTGAAAACATCCAAGGCATCATAGGAGCCAGGCATATGCGTTCTCCGCATCAGGCCTGAATGGGGTGTTGCCCTTGGCCACATCGGTGTCACAGGGCCACTTCACAGGCTTTTGATCTGCTGTTGGTCAGCCTGGGCCTGCACAGTGAACACAGCTCCATTGTGTTCTGGTTTCCACACGGCTGACTCCTTGGCCTCAGGGCTCTCGGTGGTGGCATGGTAGCTAAGTCTTGGGGAGGGGTAAAGCGGGGTCACTGGGCCTGGGCCTGGTGGTAGAGAATACGTGCCCTCTTTTGGAGACTGACGGCAGGAGAGCCTGGCTGCCTCACATGGCACAGGAGCAATTGTAATTTTTCCCCCTTTTCAATTTGTTATACATAGCTTTCTAAAAATTAATGTGTATTTACAACACTTTTATGAACTGCATAATTTTAGTTGTTTTCACTGTCCCATAATTCCTGTGCAGGGAATAAAGGTGATTATTTTATTATGAGAAATATACATATAGTTTTATACATTTTTAAATTATACATAAATTGAAATTCATTTCAAATGGTGCACACTTTTTACTTACTTGTTTATTTATTTATTTTTGTCTTTTTGAGACAGGGTTTCACTTTTCAGTTCAGGCTGGCCTTGAACTCACTTTGTAGCCCAGGCTGCCCTCAAACTTGCAGCAATCCTCCTGCCTCAGCCTCCTGAGTGCTGGGATTACCATGCCCAGCGGTGCATACATTTTCTAATGGTCGAGTTGCGCTCCAAAAATATCATCCATTTACACTCCCTTTAGCAACATAGGAGAGTATAACCAATGTAATGCATTACCATTCTTTCTAATATTTTACCCGATGTAGTAGGTAAAAACAAATAATAGTTTTAATTTTCATTTCTTTGGTTACTGGTATAGTTGGATATTATTTGACATTATATCTTGTGTAAAATTGACTGTATCGTCCAAATTTTTATTAAAGTGTTCATTTTATTCCAGCTTTTATAAAAAATAACTTTTTTTATAAAGAATAATTTTTGTGATATGTTACAGTTTTGCATTTTTGTCATTTGTCTTTTCAATCTTGAAAATGGTCTATTAATCTTTTAATGATCTCTGCCTGGTGAATCCTTAGGCTTCTTTATTCTTACCAGGACTATGCTATCAGATTAAAATATCTCTTAGTTATTGCAGGCCGATCAGGCCCACAATCTCCCCAATGAGTGGACAGCAAAGGTTTAAATAAATGAGACATTTGAAATGATTATAGGGCTCTAGGAGGGTCCAGCTCTCTTACAGTATTTAAGATTCTCTGGGTTAAGACTGTCTGGGTTAAAACCAAGACTTCCTGAGTGGCCCTTATATATTATGTGTTCAAATAAAGGAGGGGAATCCTGAAGAAAATGCAGGAATCTGGGCAGGACTTGGGAAACCCTTTACGGAATTCTCTGAGTAACACATTAATTTAGGAGAACTCCAGGAAGGCCTTCACTGCAGGAGCCAATGCCTGCAACTACAGCCTCCTTTTAGTTAATTGGAGTTGGAGCCAAAACTCCTCAGCTGTGACCTTGTCTTGTCCTTTGAGGCCTCCTGGCTTCATCCACCATTACAGGCCTCAGTAGGGACCAGTGACTCACAAATAAACATGGAAAGCCAATTGGTTAATATTAAATCCTGCTCAGAGCTGCTACATGGTAGTCTCCATCACTATACAAATAGTCATCTGTATTTATTTCTACTCTTTATGGTTTAAGTTTTTACACTAGAGTATTCGATAACAGCTCTGAAATGTATCAGGTAGATCAGTGTGTTTGAAATGCCTTATCATATGTAAATACTTTTAAACTTAGTTCCATTTCAGTTCTGTTTCATTGATATCTTTGTTATAAAGACAGTGGTACATTGTTTTGTTTTGTTTGATGTGATCCTGGGGATTGAACCCAAGGCCTTCACACTGAGCTACATCACCAGGCCTTTGAAAAAAATTGTTTTTGTGCTGGTGCATGCCTGTAATCCCAGCACTAAGGAAACAGGAGGATCGCAGCAAGTTTGAGGCCAACCTGGTCTACATTGTGCTTTCAAGGGTAGCCTCAACTGCACAGCGAGACCCGTCTCCAAAAAAAATAATTCTTTTTTTTTGAGACAGTGTCTTGCTAAGAAAGAGATAGCTGGGCATGGTGGCGCACGCCTGTAATCCCAGCGCTCAGGAGGCTGAGGCAGGAGGATCCTTGCGAGTTCGAGACCAGCCTAGGCTACAAAGTGAGCTCAAGGCCAGCCTGAACTGCACAGTGAAACCCTGTCTCAAAAAAAAAAAAAAGAGAGGTAGCAGCCAGTAGTAGTTGAGGGTTTGAATTTTAGTTGCTCTGTATATAAATGAAGGTTTCCATTAGGAAGTTGGATTTACAGATCCTGGAATTTAGACCTGCAAGACAGGATTTGAAGGAAGACAGAGACATACCGAGTAAGTATCACGGGCCTCAGAGAAGCAAGGGTTTATGTGAAACGATGTAGGAGTGGAGCACAGCGAGATACTGTTGTTGAGCGCCACTGCCTCCACTTCCATAGTGGGGCGGGGAAAGTGGAACTGGACTCTGAACGTGCTTCCCAACACACACAGCTGAACACTGAGTCCTTGGGGAGAGTTAAAATATTTGATAAACCAGGTGCTGATCTGTCTTCTTCCAGAATGGAAGGTGGGAATTCATGCAACTTAATATTCAGTAATTGGTTTGTCCATTCAGCCTGTGGTGTCCACAGTGACCTCCTTCAAGGCCAGGAGTTAGCCCTGTGCCCTGCCCCACCCCGTCCCAACCTTAACTGTACTTCAGTTGCAGACTGCTGGTCTTAGAGCTTTTGTTTCGTCGTGGTGTAGAACAGTGGTGTGAACCTATGGCACACACGCCTCAGCTGGCTGTTGGTGGAAGCTCTGGAAGGGCCACCATCACTGGTACAGAACCTTGATTTTTACCATCAGGTGTACAGATTGCCAGAGTACTTGTTCTCACGACATACAGTAAATGTCGCCTTCACCCAGGTACTAATATATATTTTGCCCAGGCTAGGGTGATGCAGGAGTGTGAAGACCCAAGTGTGCTTTGACATCATTCCTTTCTGGTTAGCACCATTAGCTTAGATCTTGAGCCTGCCTGATGTTAGTGAATTTCATTTATCTGTCCCGTTAGCACCATCAGCTTAGATGAGAGCACCACTGGGTTCTGTTCATTGATTTTTTTTTTTTTAAACACCTCTTTCCCTGTGTGGGAAATATAGAAAGAGAACCTCTGTGCGTGTGTGTTTGTGTCTGTGTATGTCTCTGTGTGTTTTGATAAAATTTATCCAAATTTGTCTCACTGCTGCTCCAGCAGAGAAGCTGTGCCCAGTTAAGCCTACTTCAGTCATTCACATATTCTAGTTTTAGTCCGTCATTATAGGAACATGTGCTTCAGTAAAAAATGTAAAAAACTGGTACTTAATGGTATGTCCCCCAAAATGTATAAGATACAGTAAAATTGATACATATTACTGCATAGACTCTATTGCGAGTATTTAAAAAGTAGGCATTCTCATGTTACTGTTGCTTCTTTAACTCTGAGGATTGTTCTCTTCACTAGATGTTACTGGTTAAGGATATGTGAGGGCTGGGGATATAGCTCAGTGGCACAAACGCCAGCCTAGCAAGCACAAGGTCCTGGCTTTGATTCCCAGGACCATTCTTTCTAATATTTTACCTGATGTAGTGAGAACAAATATTAGTTTTAATTTTCATTTCCTTTGGCTGGGCATGATGATGCACACCTGTAATCCCAGCACTTGGGAGGCTGAGGCAGGAAGATCATTGCAAGTTCGAGGCCAGCCTGGGCTACAAAGTGAGCTTTCAAGGTCAGCCTGAACTGCATAGCGAGACCCTGCCTCAAAAAGATGAAAACAAAAAGGATATGTGAAGTTCCAAACATCCATCTGTAGCACCAGTGGTGGTTGTTTGTGCTCTCGGGTATAGCAGCAACGTCTGTCTTTGTGGGAGTTCGAGCATCCTCACATGTACTGATGTAACTGAACCTGGAATGGCTTTTACGTGATAATGTATTTAATGTTCCAGGGGATGAATGACCTGTTCATCATAGGACAGTGAGAAATCTTAGACAGGATTAATGATCATAACCCTGCTTGATGGTAATGATGGCTCCCTGCTGTCATCCCAGTAATTTGCTGTACCTAACGGCCCGCAGCCACATGTAAGGTTCACTGGTGCCTGTTGGCCGCGTCGTTAATAAAATAAGTAGGACGCTGCAGTTGATGGGGTTACACGTCGAGTTGGCAGGAGTTTGGAGAGTTCAGCTGTTCTGCGCTGGCTTTACATGTAAGCTCTTACTGTCATACTGTCTCCTTTGGTTTACCCCATTCAACACCTTGGTGTGTGTTTGTTTTCCTTTTGAGACAGGGTCTCACTATGCGGTTCAGGCTGGCCTTGAGCTCACTTTGTAGCCTAGGCTGGTCTCAAACTTGTAACGATCCTCCGGCCTCAGCCTACCTAGTGCTGGGATTGCAGGCGTGCGCCACCACACCCAATTGCATCCTGGTTTCTTATTTTAATTTTGTTTTTAAAAAATTGCCATCTAGTTGTCAGTAACCCTACAAAATCTGTCTTACAGGAACAAGTGGTGATGAATTTGGACAGCAGGCTTCTGATCTTCCCTTTGTATATCTGCTGTAACTTCTTATATATATCACCAGAAAAAAGAACTGAAAATAATCATCACCCAGAGAATCCAGAAAACTGAGGATCTCATCAGTTTTGGAAACAGCAGCACTTTGAAAATTTCTCAGGCCGATCTTAATGGCCCTACTGACATTCGTGTCTAAGGTGACTAACAATGACAAAGGCCTTATGAACTGTACAGACAATACAGAAGATGTTTCTTACCCTCATTACATTTCTATGCATATATGCAAAAGCATTTTAAAGCCAAGAAAATATCTGTCAAACCATGCAAGTTGTCAATTCATGATTTTAATTTAGCATTAGGAGAAAATTGCTGTAGGTAGATTTCACATTCTTTGCAACGAAATACATTAGCTTCAATTTTGAGCCTGCCTAATGTTAGTGACTTCCATTTATCTGCCTGTTATTTTTATTCTGCTGAAAGAATGCTAAAGAAATAATCTGAAGAGCCAATTATAAATGTTCTTTCCATTGGTGCCTTTAAAGCGTTCAGTCTTCTGCTCATGTCGAGTCCTCCGCGTGGTCCAGCATCCGTTGCAGTCGTACATGTTTTTAATCACTAAATACTTTCGTCACGGTTTTGGGAGACTAAGCTGCAGAACTTCCATTTTTTAACTGAAGCATTTTCATGTTTATTTTCAAATTTAGCTTTCCTGGGCTTTTAAAAACAATAAAAATCCGATTTAGGCCTTCACACAAACTTGAATAAGGGAAAAACCAGTTTGATTTGAGGACATTCCTTTGCCTTACATGGTCTTGACATTCTGTATACCTTTATTATTAGGTTAAGAATTATTTATGTACCAAATATTACACTTTTGAATATTTTCATGTTCTCTGATCTTTAGAATTATTTATGTTCAAATTTTAATTGGGAATCCCATTTCCTACTTAAGCTCAGGACTTTATAACCTCTGAACGGAGTGCCTTTGAGTTATACATATTAATAGAAATTTCATAGTAAATGTACATAAGGTTGGAGGATCTAATATTGAAGCTGATAATAAAGCATTAATGTAAAAAAACAACTTATTTTTGTCAAAAATGAGATGTACATTTGTCATGATTTATGTATGTTGGCTTCTTATGTTCATTGCTATTTTGAAACATGCCCACTTTCCTTCCAGTCAGAGTAAATATTTTTGTGGCTAATGTATATTTTTAGTAGTATGTTTCTAAAAACAGGAATCATTTTTATGCAAACAATAAATTCTCATTTGGGAAAAAACCAAATTAGCACTTAAAACTGACCAAAAACCAATCCCTAGCACCACAAAGAATACCAAACCAAACCAGATAAAATAAACTTTTTAAAAAAAGAACTTAATCAAAACTAGGATTTTTTTTTTTTTATTTTTTATTTTTTGGTTTCTAGTTAGATTTTTCCCAAATGTTTTTAATTTTTTTGATTCATTGACAGTTTTTCTTTCCCAGTATATGTTCTGACATTATCATAGGTCTTACACTGCTTTTGTCCTCTCAGAATTCATAAAGAAATGTGCGTCTGTCTGTCTGTCTGAGACAGGGTCTCACTGTAGTTCTGGCCTTGAAATCACTATATAGCACAGGTTGGCCTCAAACTAACAGTGATCCTGCTGCCTCAGCCTCCTGATTGTTGGGATTACAGCACCACCACGCTCAACAAATGTTTCTAATACAATGTGTTTTGGGTGGAGGGTGGGGGAGTTGTCTTTTTGAGACAGGGTCTTGCTATGCAGTTCAGGCTGGCCTTGAACTCACTTTGTAGCCCAGGCTGGTCTCGAACTCTCAACTATCCTTCTGCCTCAGCTTCCTGGGTGCTGGGATTACAGGTGTGCAGCACCACTCCCAGCTCTATAGTACAATGATCTGGCTCTATAAAGAGGCTACAGCAGAAGAGGTTCTCTGTCTACCCTTCGTACACTAAAAAACATATCAATATCAAACTTCAGTCAAATTGTTTGAATAAATTGTCATAAATCTTAGAAGATATAGTTTGAGTACACTAATGAAGAAAAGTAACTTTTGTTTCATAAATTAACTACATAAATTAACTGGTCAAATTGGAATTGTACATAGTTCCTGTCCATTAGGTATTTCTGGTCAAGTTCCTTACGACTTCTGTATACAGGATAATTATTTCTTCTGTTAAGAGTAGATTATGTTCTCATTTGAGAAACTGATAATTATTAGCTACTACTTCATATTGATAGTAAAGAATCTGCTACTGTTTTCATACCACATACTTTTTTATGTGTTCATATTACTATACTGTTCCCTTCGATAGGAATATTTCCAATAAAGGTTCATAGTATCAGCTGATGTATCATATAAACTTGTATTTATCAGCCCCTACCCATTTGTTTGTTTGTTTTGTATTGCTAGGGCTTGAAAACAATTCTTAGTGACTTTTCTTGTTCCTGAGACAAAATACGCAACACCTCGAATTGAAGGAGGAAATGTTTGGGTTTTGCTTTTTTTTTTGGTACCAGAAATCACTCAGGACCAGTGCCACTGAGCGATAGCCTGGGCCCTGGAAAAGTTTATCTCAGCTCACAGTTTGTAGCAGTTTTAGTCCAAAGTTGGCTGGCTCCAAGGCAGGGTGGGTGGCGTGGCAGAGGAGCGTCACAGGGGAGAAATAGTTCATGGTGTTCATGATGTGGCGGGGCAAACAGAAAGCCGCAGAAGCCGCTCCCTTTTATCCTTTCCAGACTCCCTGCTTTTCAGGTGGTGCCCCCAGTACCCAGCATGGGCCTTCCCACTGTCCATCCCCAGAACTGTGCTAGACCTATCAGTGGACTAATTTAGTAAGCACTCACCCTTAATCCATATTCTCACAATTTAATCCCAGCCTCATACACCTGAGATCCAGCCACCTCCCAACACTCCCTTCTGTGAGTGCAGGAGAATTTGGGGCCATCCAGGCACAAGCCATAATAATAGTAGTTATCCACAAATAATTATTTTCACTTGTCTATTAGTAAAGAAGTTCTTAGAGGTTCACAGTGATTTTTTTTTTTTTTTTTGGTCTTTTTGAGACAGGGTCTCGCTATGCCGTTCAGGCTGGCCTTGAGCTCACTTTGTAGCCCAGGCTGGCCTCAAACTTGCACACGTGCACACTGAGTTATTGTTTGAAATTCAGTATTGCTTGTTTTGTATTATTTTGTAAATGTATGTGTGTCAATATGCTTTCATTCTTTTATCTTTAAAATTCAAAAAAATTTAAAAATTAAAAAATAAAGGATATAAATATACATTTTTAAGTGGATTTAACCTAAGAAGTAGGCAAAATTACATGAAAAACAATGGTACACATGAGCCTTTTTTTTTTTTAATTTTCAGTACTGAGGGTTAATCCTGGGGTCTTTGCACTGAGCTGCACCCCAGACCTTTTCAAAACTTTGTGAGACAGAGTCTTACCGAGTCACTAAGTTGCCCAGCCTGAGTGTGAAGTGGGGTCCTCCTGCCGCATGCTGGGATTATAGGCATGTGCCACTACATCTAGTTAGTTGCTAACTTTTTTTCTTTTATAGTACTGGAGACTGACCAAAGGTGTCTCATGCATGTGAGGCATGCATGCATGTTCTACCACTGAGCTCACAGCACTGAATGTGATTGGCTTTTATTCCTTTTAGCTAACATTTAAAATTGACTGCAAGATGTGGCACACACCTGTAACCCCAGCACTTGGGAGGCTGAGGTAGGAGGATTGCTTTGAGTTTGAGGCCAGCCTGGGATACAAAGTGAGTTCAAGGCCAGCCTGAACTGCATAGCAAAACTCTGTCTCCAAACATAAAATTGACCATTTTGCTCTTAAAAACTTGCCACCTTCTCAAACTCTGACATCACCAGTCTTTGGTTTCTGTATTTCTGGCCACTGCTTGGTCTTCTTTGGGGGTTCTTGCTCGGGATATCTGAGCCTTTTTCTCTCCTCACCCAGTACTGGTTCATTTCATGAACTCTCACTTCTTCATAGGAACAATTGGCTTGACAGTGTGCTGTGTACCTCTAATCTTAGCTACTTCGGAAGCTGAGGCAGGAAGACCAAGAGTTTGAAGCCAACCTAGGCAGCTTTAGGAAGACCCTAGCTCAAGTAAAGGGCTGGGGATATAACTCGGTGGTGAAGTTCTCTGGGTTCAGTCCCCAGTACCACATCCACACGTGTAAGAACATATATATTGTCTAGCCTGCACCTTCTTCCAACCTCAGATAAACATCGAGTTGGCTTCCCTTCATGGGTGTTCAGAGTGACATTTCCAGTTAGTAGGTCCAGCGTGAACACATCTGCTTTCCCCAAAATTTGTCTTGTGTGCTAGACAAATTTCAAGAAATGGTGCTAAACCAGGCGTGGTGGTACACGCCTATAATCCCAGCACTTGGGAGGCTGAGGCAGGAGGATGGTCGTGAGTTTGAGACACGCCTGGGCTACAAAGTGAGCTCAAGGCCAGCCTGAACTGCATAGTTGAGACCCTGTCTCAAAAAGACAAAAAAAAAAGAGAAATGGTGCTACTACCTACACAGATGAGCAAGACAGCAACCTAGATGTCTTTCTTGAACTTTCCACTTTGTGCTGTGCATCCAGAGATGAAATTCTTCTGATTCTCCCAAGTATATTTCATTGTTTGTTTGTTTTTGTTTTTTTCTTCCCGTACCAGGAATTGAAATCACGACCTTGCGCTTGCCAGGCAGGCGCCGCTGAGCTAAATCCCCAGCCCCTCCCAAGTGTATTTCAAATGCAACTGCTTTGCACCTTGCCCAGTGTTAACAGCTTGTGTCTAGATGCCCTCACAGCCTCGTGCAGTCTGGTGGCTCTAGCTAGAGTGTGTGATTCGTGGTGCAATGCTAGAATCAAGGGCACTAGGATTAAGGCTGTGAGTGCTGCCTGCCCTAAGGGTGGGTATCCTGGATAAGACACAAGGGACGGAAAGAGCTGTGGTTCCCTTGTTGCTTTGCTGCCTTCTGCCCACCATGAACTTTCTCTGCCAAGCCACCCTGCCTTGGAGCCAGCTGATTATGGACTGAAACCTCTGCAAACTGAAACCTCTACAAAATGAGCTAAATAAACCTTTCCTCCTTTAACTTCGGGTGTCAGGTTTTTTGTCTTAGGAACAAGTAACCAAGACCCCCATTGCTACCATTCTAGTACAGGCTGCTGTAATCTCCAACTGCTGTGCTTTGTCCCCGAAAGAAACTTAAATCCCTAAGGCAACTTAAACTTAATCCCTAAGGCAACAGTGCTGAGAGCTGTGGAGATTAATCATGAGAGCAGAGCGCTTATGCATGGATTAATGCCAGTACTGCAGGATGGCATCCTGTCCTTTTCCATGTGCACTATCCTGCCATGATACTTCTGCATGTCATGATGCAGGCAACCCTTGCCAAATGTCAGCACCTTGACATGGACTGCCCAGCCTCCTGAACTGGGTGTCTCTGGTATTCTGTTCATAGTAGCACAAAAACAGACACCAACCTAGATGATTCTGCCAACCTGTGTTTTCCTCCTCTAAGGTCTCCACCTTGCCCAAAGTGTTCTCTGAATGAACTAAAATCTTGCCAGGTGTGGTGGCACAGCCCTGTAATCCCAGCACTCGGGAGGCTGAGGCAGGAGGATGGTTGCGAGTTTGAGACCAGCCTGGGCTACAAAGTGAGCTCAAGGTCAGCCTGAACTGCACAGTGAGACCCTGTCTCAAAAAAAAAAAAAGAAAAGAAAAAGAAAAAAAAACCCTGAAATCTCACTGTCTCCCACCCTTAAAATTCTCCCCATTTGCCTTCAAGATAACCAAGGCTTACAGCCGTATCTTTACATCTCTCCCTTGCCTCTTGGGCCCTGGCACACGCAGTGCCTTCGCCTGGACAACCTTACCCCTTCTCCCCACCATAAATATTACCCATTTCATCTGGCTCATTTCTACTCATTCTTAGGGTTTTATTTGGACATCATTTCCTCCTGCAACCCTTTCTTGACACCCTTCCCCCTCCAAACCAGCCTGGTACTCATTGAATTTGCCTTCCTAATGCCCTGTTCTCTCTTGCCGTTTCACACTATGGA